GCGGAGCCGCTGCTTTGCGGTGCTGGTCTTCGCGACGATCATGTGGGCGACGGAGGCGATCCCGCTGTTCGTCACGGCGATACTCGTGCCGCTGCTGCTCGTCTGTCTGCGCGTCGTCCGCGGGCCCGATGGGCGGGGCGGCGAGGAGCGCCTGAGCACGCCGGATGCGACGAAGTAAGTCAGAGTCGGGTGGGAACGGCGCACGTCCTGATACCTCGGCCAGATTCATATTCTCCGTCATGTTCTCGCCCACGATCATGCTGCTCATCGGCGGGTTCACAATCGCGTCGGCGTTGAGCAAGACGGCCATTGATCGGGTGCTGATCACGAAGGTGCTCAGCCTGGCTGGTACGCGCCCGAGCGTCGTCCTCCTCGCGTTCATGGGCGTGGCGTGCTTTGCGAGCATGTGGATCAGGTGCTCTCTCCACTTTGTGTCTCTGTGCGGACATGTGCTGATTCTCTCTGCAGCAATGTTGCCGCGCCAACCCTTTGTTTCTCGTTAATCCAGGTCAGCACGGGGAGCCCTTTTTAATTTTTAATTTTTACCACTGATAGTGTACCGATCATCGTTGTAGCCCATCCTGCGGACCCTTCCCCCAAGGTCGAAATTCGCGCCGTGTTTGATCGTGAGTGACTCTCGAGTTACTGTGTCATCCCTTTCCCGACTGCGAACTCCATCAGTTGGGCATCGCCCTCGCCGCAAACATCGGTGGCCAGAGCTCCCCCATCTCGTCGCCACAGAACCTCATCGCCCTCGCCGAGATGAATCCCCAACTAGATTGGGGCAGCTGGTTCGCCGTCGCCCTGCCGGTGTCGACGGTGTCGATTCTGCTTATTTGGCTGCTCCTCCTTGTCTCGTACCACCCCGCACGCTCTCCGGACGGCGAGGGCGACATCGTCATTCGACCCATCCGGGCGACGCGAGAGCGGTTCACGTTCAAGCAGTACTGGGTGTCCCTTGTGTGTTTGGTGACGATTGCGCTGTGGTGTTTTGCACACCAGCTCGAAGACGTCGTGGGCGATATGGGTGTCATTGCGATCATACCCATCGTTGCGTTCTTCTCCACCGGCGTGCTGAAGAAGGTCGGTGTCCGTGGCAGTATAGAGACTCGTCCGACGCTGACGCGCTGCTGGGTGGTAGGAGGACTTTGAGCAGTTCTTGTGGACCGTGGTCTTCCTTGCCATGGGAGGCATTGCGCTTGGCAAAGGTGTCACTGCCAGCGGCCTCCTCGCCGTGATGGACGACAAAATTCGGGACATGGTCGGGGGTCTGCCGCTCTATACGGTCGTCCTTGTATTATCCTGCGTCGTTCTGGTGAGCCATTGTCATTCCACAGAGGACCTGAGTAGCGTCTTCACATCGCTGGATATGCCAGGTCGTCTCCACGTTTATCAGCCATACGATTGCGAGCGTGTTGCTGGTGCCGATCGCGAAGGAAGTGGGGAGCAACATGCCGGGGAATCGGGCAAACCTGTTGATTTTCCTGACTGGGCTCTTGTGCTCCACTGGCATGGGAATGCCTGTCTCCGGGTTTCCGAATCAGACCGCGTAAGCTCGCAGCCCAATACAATCTACTTGTCTCTGCCTTCTCACGTTCGATGAGCAGTGCAAATCAGGAGGACGAGATGGGACAGCTGTACTTGTCGAATGTCGACTTTCTCAAGAACGGTGTCCCTGCCAGTGTGATAGCGATGCTTGTGCGTGATGCCATCCTTCAATCCCAATTTATTTTTTCACCGCGTGCTCCATAGGTTGTTGCGACGCTCGGCTTCCTGTTGATGCAGGCAATCGGGTGTGTACCTAGTATCGCTTTGGGGTCGTGCACATATATTGACACTTTCTTTTAGCCTCTGATCAATACGTCTTCACGTCTGATTGCAGTTATATTTCTTGAATGACTTACAGCTTTGTGACAATGCTTTCCCCCTCGTCGTACAGGTCCAATAGTTCGCGTGTTGGTGTTATATCCGGTCTTATCTCTCCCCGATTCCCTCCTAGACACAAGTCTAAACTGCAGTATCACGGCCACACGTAATTCCTGCTAGATGCATGATGGTGTATCATTTGTGTAGAATCAGACCTAAAGCGTTGCTTGGGACAGTTCTGCGCCTTGCAGGTCGTCTGTTCCTTGTGTCTGATCGTCCTTTGGTTGGAACATTCGACGATTCGTGTACATAGTCGTCATGCAGCCGACTTGTGTTGATAGCCGTGAGCAGCCACAGACGCGTCTATCACATGATTTCAGTTGCTGTGTCCCGCAACTCCGAGCGGGGAGACTCCCGAGTCTGAGCATGGACCCTGTGCTACATCTTCAAGATGAGCTTTGACTGTGCGATGGCAAAAGGTCGTAGCTATCTGTGCGTTCTGCTCTCTTAATCTCGCTGGACATTTTGGCTGGATTGCACAATGTTGTGCCATGGTTGTCAAGAGGAAGGCCGCGAACGTGCTAAGTAAATCATCTTTGAAACTTCGTCGTTCGTGCCCCATCGATACTCAAAGACGCAGCATGGCGCCACATGGCAGATGTGGCCCTGTCCCTCGCTTTGCGCTTTCTGTGGACGTATAAAACGTGCGTCTTTTCACAATCTCTGTTCACGCCCGCAGAACTTGAGCCACCACCATGCGCCTCGTCGACCTCCATTACGACGTCCTCCAGCCCATCCTCGACCACCTAGATCAGAGATCCCTGAACCATCTGTCTCTAACTTGCCGTGTGGGACATCACCTCGCCATCCCGTTTCTCCTGCGCGACGTGACGCTTCGCGGTGGCTGGGATAAAGTCGTTGCCTTCTGCCGGTTTGTGGTTGCCGACACCGAAGACAGGGCACTTATGGTGAAGACGCTCCGGCTTTCTGCCACTCCAACCATCGTCTACAACAAGAACAAGAACAAGCACTTTCTTTCTACAAAGGTCGCAGCAGCCATGCCCTTCCTGCGCCGGCTCCTTCAGGCTGCCTGCAACCTACACACGATCAGCCTGAGCTCCTCTATGGGAGTGGCCATGAACAATCCCGATTTCGGGATCCGCGCTGCGCTCCTGCAGCTGCCGCGACTGGTGCATCTTGTTATAGACACGAACGACGACATCCAGCATGTGTGTCACAGCACCGGCTACTGCTCGTGGGACCGCTGGACAGGCAGGCAGGAATGGTTCAACACGATCGGCCAGATGCACGGCCTCCGCACCCTCGAGCTCGCAGCTGTCCCCGGTGCGTCGCTCTACAAACTCCTGCAGCCTCACCAGAGCACAATGGAACGCCTCGTCCTGCGTGGCGACTTGAAAGATGCTGCGCTCGGGTACCAGTCGCACTCCGTTTGGGAACGCGTGCGCGAGCTGGTGGTACACAACTTCGCCGCGCGCGAGCCCCTCGTACGTGCGTTCCCAAACCTGCGCTTCCTGAATCTCGACGTGAATTGTGAGGGGAGGGTTTTCTACAGCCACACGAAGAACCAGATGAACGTAGACAGCGAGGCGTGCTGGCCCGCGCTGGATCACGTTCGCGGCACGTCGCTCGGGATCGTGAGCTTGAGGCTGAAGTGCCCGGTCCGCCGGCTAGACATCGACCTGGTGCAGATGGCGCAGATTTTATGCATGGAGCAAGACTACACCTTTGAAGACGTTCTGAAGGTGACCAAGCCTGCAGTGCTGTCGCTCCGGACACCGACGTGGTTTGTCGCAGCGTACTGCCGGAGCGTCGCATCCACGCTTCCGAAGTTGAGATGCCTCAGCCTGGAGATGCTGTATGATAATCGTATTCCAGGCGATGGGACGGAGTTGTTGATGGTGCGTAGATGCATTCTACGATGTGCCGGCTCTCACTCGTCCTCCTAGACACTGGCCGCAGATAGCATGATGCAGCTGCGTTCATTGCGGTATCTATCCTTGCGTATTCTTCACCCCCGCCCCGCACCGTCGCTGCTGTGCAGTCCCGTAAACGTGTTGCATCAATTCGTGTCTATCCTCACCACCCACCTGCCTTGTCTCGAGTATCTGGAGATTACTTGGGACGCGCTCGGCTGGCAGCGTTCATGGTGGCACAAACAGCCCGTTGAGCTAGATGCGGGCGGAAATGTCCTAAACTTTGTGGTGTTTGAACTGTCGTCGTCTTTAGGTCTGGCTGCGAGGCGACGGTTCGTAGACGGCTCCGAGCGATAGCGGCTTGCTGGCTATATTTTGGAACTTCTATATTGTTATTCTTGCGGCCAGAGAAACTTGGGCAAGCGATTATCTTGGTCGTATTCTGGTCGTAACTTTGTCATCTACTAATCTATGCCTGAAGACTTGCTATGGCTCATGCTCGTGTTGATGTCTCCTCATGTAATTTGTTATGCACACCGTATGCCACGTACTTGACCCCTACTAAGCTTCAATCGGAATTCAACATTGAACGCCTATCGCTTCCGATCGCGCTGGAAGTCTGTATTTGAATTGTCCTATGACCCGCAAATGACTTCAGCAGTGGCGTACGGATGTGGCATAAAGTTTTATATAGGGGCAGGACCGACTATTCTGAAACTCATACATTGTGCTGTCTCATAGCTCAGCTAATTCATAGGACATGATGGTGAGGGGTCAAGTGGGTGTTTCGATACAGCATTCTGAGATAATCCACAGAAAGAGGTTCAGTCGAAAGAAGGAAGATCGATTGAGATTGGCGATACCGTGACCACACGGTTCAGAGGAGGGAAACATGAAGGCAAGGTATGTTCATGAGCAAATCGCCTCTAGAGCATTAGCGGGCAACTACCGTCACCTTTTAGGTTGAGGCAGTTATCAGGAGTGAGCAAGACCTCGAGGATGCTGGTGATCTCGGCGTAGTGGTGAAGAACCCGCCCAAAGTACGCCCGTCTCTGAACATATTCGACTATTTTTGCTTTGACCTCTACCCCACGTCTTGTTAGGTCATCTTCACTGATCAGGTTGGTCTTGCAGCACTTGACGTAAAGGGGGCTGCTGACGCGTACGATAGCACGGACACCGAGTCGCGCACAATCCTGGAACACTTACACATGTCGATGACTCGAGATCGGAGTGAATATGAACAATGAATCTGCTACTAGCTCGTCATATTGTATAATTAGTGTGTAGCAGTCGCGGTGTATGTTTTAGGATACTCTGCCATCTTACATAGGGTATGCCGTACGGGAAGGATTGAAGTTATGTCATGTGTTAATGGACGGTTTGGCCCCAATAGTGCACATGAATCACTGTCTAGTGTGAGAATTAGTACGGAGAAAGAGAAAAGTCATTTGAACTGGAGAGACGTCACTTTCAAAATTGAAGGGTTGACTTGTCGACTTGACAACAGTGACCACGGCATCACCCAAGACGCGTTAGTGCGCTCGTGGTCTAATATGGGAAAGGTTGTCCGGTATGTGTAATATTAGGAACTCATAGTGACCTTCCAATATTATATTTGCACTCACGAGCACTCGAGCGCAATTTTCGTGCGCCCTATATGAATGCCGGATTGCTAAGACAAACCGATCCTCTTGGCCGAGCTGGCGCTTTATTGGATCGACTGTGTCTTGATAAGCGATGCACACGATTGATAACACGTGCCTTGCGTGGGGCCCACAGTATACCATGATGCTATTGTTCAGTTCATGGAGTCACACTCTTGAACTTCAACCATCACCATCATGCCTACCATGGGGATAATCCGCAGGCCTCTTCCGAGGCATGTTCGTGATCCGTAGGCGTCATGTTGAATCCATTTCCGCGACACGCTAACATATGTCGAAGCGCTGTTTTTGGGCACATTCCCGATGTCCCGGTTGGAACGCGATGGGGATCCAGGCAGGAATGCAGTAATGACGGGGTGCACCCGTCCATCATGGCAGGGATTTGCGGCCGCCAAGAAACTGGTGCATACAGTGTCGCGTTATCTGGAGGATACGAAGATGATGTTGATGAAGGAAATACATTGTATGGACACGTAAACTTTATGCAGACATGTTCAACTGATAGATACATCCATATAGTACATACACTGGTTGTGGTGGCCGCGATACTGGGGGAGACAAGAAGGTATGCCGTCTGATGTATTCCAGCATTGAAAGTTTAAATACCAATTCATACAGCTTAGGACAGGACCTCAAGCATATGACCAATCATTTGATAATCCAAAAAATAGAGCTTTGAAGGTAGCAATATTGTGTTAATTATTATTTGTGGTAGATGCTTAGTTGGTTCTTGATAGGTATCTGTTGATACTGGAAGGCCTGTTCGGGTGATCAGAGGCTTCAAGCTTGACTCTAATTATGCTCCAGCTGAGGGGTATGTTACTCTGTAATTTACGGATTTTAAGCTGATTTATACGCCTTCACTTAGATATCGTTATGATGGACTGTACAAAGTAACTGAAGTAAGTAAGACTAGGCATAATTGTGCTCAAAATTTAGGACTGCAACTCAAGCATATCAGATGCATATTGTCTTGCCCATCCTGTATGAAATTGTTTTACAAAATTCTGATGTGGTTTTGTTAGGCGTGGCTTGCCACTGGGAAGGCTGGGTACAAAGTTTGCAGGTACAGATTTGTGGTATGTTTGTGTATGATGCAGTTTGTTTTGGACACAGTAAAGCTCATTGTTGAGTGACAGCGACTCCCAGATCAACCTCCAATTCCAAGAAGAGAAGGCAACTTCAGTTCAACTTATGTCAGTCGACCCAGGCATTACAGTCCCATTCCGGAGCCCAAGTATGAAGGTACAGCTATACCGAAAATGGAGCAAACTCGTCAAGGATCTTCTTCCACATCATCGAGACCATCTGTCCCTACTTCTTCCAGGGCGGGTTCTGCCGGTGCCGGTGCCAGCTCATCCTCGCGGCGTCCGCTCAAGTTCACGAAGATCCAGCTGGGAACTAGGCCTCAGGCCAGTTCTTCAAACCTCACTAGGGCAAAACGACGGAGAGACGATCCTATTCCGGAACCAAAGTTTGAAGGCTACTACGTCGCGAAGCAGGAGAATGTAGACGCCCATACATCAAAATCGTTCTCGGGCCAATAGATTTGATTTTATCTGCGCCTTCACTCTCACCTCGAGCGCGTAGCGCACACGCTACGGTTTAGTTGTATGGTTATCGGAAATATTTCCGGCCGTCGATGTTATTGACAACAAGTCCTCCCATCTGCTGAACATCATCCCCCGCCCATCTCCTCATCCAGGAGCCGGATTTGCAATCATTTGGCGAGTATGGCTATAGGCGTATGCTATGTTTGATGTATTCCTTGTGTTGTGCATCAGAGAGGGTCATCGTTCGATAGTGTACTTCATATGTTCGGGATATACCAATAGCGCTTCCAATATGTCATGACGGATGTACTTGAGTGTACTACTAGTATATAATCTGAATATGCTACTACAACCATTCCAATCACATCAGAGATTTACGAAGTCCAGAACACTGATTAGTACAAGGCAAGCAGAATATGCCGACGTCATGTAACCTAGCGAAACTTGGCAAGGGCACACAGATCGAGAAAGGCAGACGTACTGGCAATAGTACTACAATGCGCTAGACACGTCGCGCGTGCAGATACTGTAAGCGATAGCAGTGTCTAGGGACAGCGATGCAGGCAGGATAATGGCGACTACGAATCGTGAAGCTTGCCATCGCTCCACAAATTCAATGCATAGGTCTGCTCTTGCCGTGAGGATCTTGATGAAGTCATGGCTACCCTTCAGGTCATCGGGGTACTCGAGATACCATCACAGACGCATGTTGTGATGGGGACTCATATGATCAAACGAGTGGGACCGACCCGTTGAGGGTAAATAAGATCTACATTGTTCTAGAAAGGAATAGAAAGGAATATCCGCCAACGAGTATAGCAGTAGATAATAAAGCCTAATTCACAGAAACTGTAACTATGGACCCACACGATTCGACGAATGAAATCTAGTGATTTGAATCCAAGACTACTACCAGTGAATAGACGTCAACTCACCGTACACTTTTAACGACGCTCACTTTCTCCAGGCTCTGGAACATAGGGTAGGTGAGATATTCCACTACTATAATAATCTCTCCCCTTCTGATCACTTGTGATTTATCAGGTCCATAACTATGGTGCTGGTGAGTCTTGATTGAGAACATTGTCGTTGTACTTCTTTCCGAAATATCCGTAGGCAGACCGCTTGTACATCTACCCTCAACGAGTGAGACTGGCGAGGGTCTCGCCATCCAAGAATATGCGTCTATGATGATTTCTACACCATCCAGATTATGAGAGGCCGCCCTAAATCCATGCAAGTGCTCATCCGGAGCCGCACTGACCTTGGTATCAAATTTATGAAACGGTATTATATCTGTCACGTTGCGACGGCGAGCACCTTGCCGGTCTTATTCTCTCGGGTGAATTAGTATAGTATACAGCTGCCAGCCTTGTCGAACGAGACCCCTCTGCGGCGTTCACCAGCACAGGCTTGCTTCTCTGGTGCTTCCAAACATTGAGCACGATTAATTAAGAATACAGGTTACGTGACATCCGCATATATTCTGTGTGCTTGGCCCTTGTTGGGTTGTTACTTGGTGGGATTTTGAAACGAGCGGAGAGCATGAATCACTATGATAACCTGCGCATGACACGATCATATAGGGAGCAAGGTGGTCTACGTTGAGGACCGAATAGAACTGCTTAGAGGGAGCTTTGAGAAACATAAACAAAGTATTGATATCCAGCAAATGCGAGAGGTAATTCACAAGGTTAGGTGAGCCTTCACTTACATAAGTACAACCGGTTTATCTTTTGCATAGAATGACGTCACGCGCTACCTCAGCCTGCCCCCAGGCTCCGTCATTTAAGTGCCCAGCCCTCTACGGGCCGCTTGACTCGTATGTTCTCACTCTCTCGCCCCCTTTCTCCCCGCATCAGATACCTCATCTGCACACCACACACAGCCAAAGTCGCACTTAATCAGTGTCTCACTCAAAGATATCCAATGTCTACTAAAACTATTGCTGTGCTCAACGAATCTGAACTCAAAGATGGGGAGATGTACGTCCCGATTGCCGCAACGAACGTTGATAACAGTTAGATTATGGTGTAACTGCAATAACAGGAGGCAAGTCGACTTTGAAGGCGAGGGAAAGGTGTTGGTCGCTCGTCTGGGTGACAAAATACATGCTACTAGCGCATTTTGCACGCATTACGGTGCCCCACTCGCCAAGGGTGTCCTCACTGCAGACGGCCGCGTCGTGTGGTGAGTAAATGTTCGCAGTTATATCATTGTTACTCATACCTCAACTATCTATAGCCCGTGGCATGGAGGTCTGTCTCCCTTCCAGTTCGACTGCGAGCCTATCTGACGTTCATTTAGCATGCTTTAACGTTTGCACGGGTGATATAGGTACGCATGCATTCCTTCAAGGTACAATGTTGCATGGTGTCATTGGAGAGAACTTTTCCAGAGGACGCACCCGCACCGACAGCCATTCATTCCTTCAGAGCACATATTGCGGATGGCAAGATCCACGTCACGGCGAACCCGTTCGAAACCCTGAAGGCCAATCACTCTCGTCAGCCCAAATTGCTTGCAACTGGTACCGGCAGTGGTAAAGGTGTTGTCATTGTGGGCGGTGGAAGCGGCACATATCACTGTATCGAAAGTCTCCGAGAGGTATGAACACTACCGTTTCTTGAAACATTTTCTGCATTCACGTATTTGTTTTCATTCCTTGCAGCATGGTTACAACGGCCCATTGACCGTCATATCCAAAGAGAGCTACAGCCCTATTGACAGGTAGGATGACGTATGCGTACCGTGTTCGCTGATATGAGCTGACGCCTTAAAGGACGAAATTGAGCAAGGCACTGATCACTGACGCCAGTAAGCTCGAATGGCGCTCGGCCGCCGAGCTTAAGAGCAAGTATGGTGTAACCTTGCGTACGGGTCTTGAAGTAAGCTCGATTGACGCGGATGCAAAGGAAGTTGTCATTGGTGGTGGCGAGCGTGTGTCATACGAGACTCTTGTCCTTGCGACAGGTGGTGTTCCACGTCGTCTACCAGTTGAGGGCGCGAACTTGGATAATGTCTACACTCTTCGTGGCGTGGAAGATGCCCAGAGGATCGACGCGGGTGAGCGACGACGCAGCTTTCTCATCAGTACAATGGATCTTACGTGCATCGGAAACAGCATGCCAAGAGGGAAAGCGTTTGGTCGTGATTGGCTCGTCCTTCATTAGTATGGAGCTCGTGGTCGCCGTGTCAAGTCGGAAACTGGCATCAATTGATGTGGTGGGCCTAGAAGAGGTCCCGTTTGAATCCATCTTGGGCAAAGAGGTCGGTGCAGGGCTGAAGAAGGTGCGTGAATTGTCCAGTACTCTCTCGGTGGGTTCTGGGGCGGGCTCATGCATGGATGTCAGTTCCACGAGAGTAAGGGTGTCCACTTCCACATGAATGCATCGGTTGAGAAGCTTGTGGCCTCAAAGAATGACTCATCGAAGGCAGAAGCTGTAATCATTTCGGGGAAGGATGGACAGCTCACACTCTCTGCCGATGCGGTCATTATGGGTGTGGGTGTGGCGCCTGCAACCGAATTCTTGAAGCACAGCAAGGGTTTTGAGAGTGCACTGGAGAAGAGCGGCGCCGTCCTTGTAGATGAGTATTTGAAGGTGAAGGGGCTCGATGGTGCATATGCTATCGGTGAGTTGTCTATGAGCCGGGACATTAGGCAGTGAAATAGTGACATGATACCGCACAGGTGATATTGCAATGTACCCACAGCCTGGTACTGGTGAACTGAGACGTATTGAACACTGGAATGTGAGGCCAGATATGGATTTGTTGCAGCAGTAATTCAGTCAGTGACTACGGATTAGGTTGCCGGGAATCAAGGACGTGCTGTTGGGAGGACAATCGCTGAGGGCAAGCCTCAGCCATACGTGAAGATTCCCGTCTTTTGGAGCGCGCGTGAGTAGTCTTAAATCCTAGGTCACAAAGATCTTGCAGATCGAACTAGCGTTCTAGAGGGACAGCAGCTACGTTACTGTGGCGTAGGGGCGAATTTCGACGACGTGATCATAACCGGAAACCCCGATGAGATGAAAGTGAGCGCATGAAACTCATATTCCAGATGCAGACTCACATGCGTACATCGACTAGTTCATCGCATATTACGTGAAGAACAACAAAGTAGTGGCAGTGGCTAGGTGAATAACATTCTTACGACATTACATTCGCGTAAGACTTACGTTGCGATTCGGTGCAGCATGCAATACGATCCTGTCGTTAGCAAGGCCTCTGAGTTGATGCGATTAGATTTGATGCCTTCGCCGACAGAGCTCAAGGCCGGAAAGGTAGCTCTGGTTTCCAGCCAGGAACACTTAGTTCTGACGCATACATCTTCCAGAATCTTCTGTCTGTTGATATACAAACAGTCTCTGCTCGGAACCTCGTTTGAGATAACACGGTAACAGAACTTTATCCGGAGAGAGTAAGGAGGCGTCGTCGCATGGAAGATATCGTTCAGCGGCAGTAGACCGCAATTTGTGCATGACTACAACCGGATTTTCTGAGTATCATATCAGCTAAGACCATGTATACAGCAGAGAGATGTAGAACACAGGCTTATAAAACATTAGGGACTGAAAATTGGAGCCACATTGCTTTCAGTGCTTTGGCGGAACGAAAACTACCGCAACGCATCGCCACTTCGTCTTTCCCATCACGTGCGCGCGTTGCGGGTTCAGCGCGGTGCGAGTCTCAGTCTCTGGCCCCTTGGTCTTGCTGAGCTCTCCTTTGTCAGCCAGATTTCTTGCCGCGAATCTCTACCACCTATCCAAGCGATTTCATTGAGTATCTGGAAGCTATGTCGACTGGCGTCGGGAAATCACTGTCCTCCAAAGCCAAAGCGTCGCTATCGGACTCGCAGTTTGACGACCTAAACCCTGTAATCACCTACAGACACGTTCAGTCCCACAATATGGGCGTCAGGGATCCTCTTCGAGTCATCGCGCTGTGCGACAGCGACGCTTTCTACGCGGCATGCGAGCAAGTTCGCCTCGGGCTTGATCCGTCTGTGCCCCTGGTCGTCCAACAGTGGGATTCGTTGATAGCAGTTAATTATCCTGCGCGCACGTACGGGATCACGCGGATGGAAAAGGTCAAGGAAGCACGAAGGAAATGCCCAGAGCTCACCGTCGTGCATGTGGCAACTTTCAAAGAAGGAGAGAAGGAGCCTGGTTATTGGAAAAATCCGGACACTTTGACACACAAGGTGTGCAATGTGGTCCCTCTTGAGTAGGCTGGATCTAACCCAAAGTATTGACTGCCTACGCAAGGTCTCGTTAGATTATTATAGGCGTGAAAGCATGAAGATTATTACCATGTTTCAAGAAGGCTTACCGACCGGGGAGATAGGTATGATCCTGTACATAACTTACGCTTAAGTATACTTCTCCATAATTCCTCCCTCCCTCAGAAAAAGCCTCGATTGACGAAGCCTTCATCGACTTCACTCGACCTGTTCGTGAAGAAATACTGCGTCGCTATCCTTACCTCGCTGAAGTTCCTCCTGATGCACCCAATGGGATCGACAGTCCAGTGCCCTCCCCGCCTCCCATTATCTGGAGTGGGTTGGGAACTGTGGTTTTCGCTGATCATGAACCGCAAGAGATTCGTGATGACGCTATCAGGTCCCAGAGAAGTGCCAGAAGTCGAACTCATGATGAAAGTAGTGAGGGCGTCAAGGAATGTGACAGCTCAACGACTTGGCATGATGTTGCTCTGTCAATTGCAGCTGAGCTGATGGGCAGAATCAGGCGCGATATTCATGAGAAACTTGGTTACACAACATCTGCAGTAAGTCATGCGTCTTGGTTCAAGATATATCTGTTCATCCGAGTCCATCTTACCACTTTATGCTCCTCACCATTCGTGCCCATAGGGACTCGCGCGGAATAAATTTCTGGCTAAGGTAGACAATCTATCTGTCAACATGGAGACTATCATCTAAGTGTACCCACTAAGCTTACGGCTTCTTATAAGAAACCGAACAGTCAGGTATGTCTCGACTTCGCGTGAGTGTCGCATTTTGATAATTCATGCTAATGCAGAGCATCCTCCGCAACGCAGCGATACCTAATTATTTGAGACCAATCGCATTCCAAAAGGTGCCTGACATACAATGTGTGGCCACTTTTCTAAAGCGTATCATATCATAGATACGTTTTCTTGGTGGAAAACTGGGAAAAGCTATCGCCGAGGAGTTTGATGCTTCGACCGTTGGTGATTTACTGTGCGTACTCGCTGACCGTATGCTGGCCATACTGAGCTGCTGACCTTTCGACACAGTCTTATAAATTTAGGTTAGTTGGTACAGCAGGACAGGGAATGCCCGAAGCTCAAAAGCATTACTGCAGAGGAGATGCAGCGTAAACTGGGGGAAAACTCGATTTGGGTTTATGAAATACTGCGGTATGTCAGCTTGCGTGCTACTGTATATATCGTAATTAACGCCCACGCAGCGGCATTGATCGCTCTGAAGGTCAGGATTTCTCCCAAATCTCGACTCATTCATTCGCTTTCGTGAAAATGACGCTCGCACAACAGTCAAAGAGAAATCATTTGTAAATAAGAGCATGATGGCTTCGAAGAATCTACCACAGCCTGTCACAAATGAGACTCAAGGCTACCATTGGATCCGAGTCCTCGCAGCAGAACTTGCTTTGCGGCTGACAGAAGCCAGGGACCAGACACCTGCTCTGTGGCCTAAAACGCTTGTACTCCACGTACGACAAGGTACCGTCGAAAGGGCTACAGTTTTCGCGATGAGCTCACCTCGGATCCACGGCAGGTTACGATACTGCGCGCTCCAAACAGGCTCCTTTCCCATTCTCGCGTCATGTCGACATAGATATCGTCGCATCTGCAGGAGACAAGCTGTGGCGCGAACTGGTCGGCACGGATACATCCAGAGCGGCTCCTGTAAAGATCACTCATATAGCGCTCGGGTTCACTGGCGTTGAGAGTATGGAAGCTGGGCAGCAGAGCATTGAAGGTTTCTTCCATACCCCTGCAATATTGGACAGGACGCGACCGAGCTCTAGCAGTGCTACCAAACGTAGCCGGGATCCAGACGACAACCCCGTCAGCCGCGAGACGGTTCGATCAAGGACCGAAGACAGCTTCCCACGCAGTCAGGTCACTTCATTTACGTGCGATAGATGCGGCAAGCGTGTCTACCTTGCAGATGAGCTGGCCAGTAATCATCCTGGGAACGAAGTGCGGGAGGCGCTGGCTGTGTTGCGCGTGGAGCACGACGACTTCCATCTCGCACAGGATTTGGCAAAGCAGATAGCAGTTAGTAGCCCTCGGAAAATCCGGCCCTCCGAGAAGGCAAAATCATCTAAGAATAAGAAGCAGCCACAAAGGCCGGAAGGCATTGCCAAGTTTTTCGCGAAGAAGTAAGCCGGGTATATCGAGGGAAGTACTTGTAGAAATTTACGCTTGCATCGTTATCATTATTTTAATTGGTTGCGTATCAAACGAACACAGTTCACGATGGGCCGGTGTCGGTCGATGGCTCTCCCGATGACATGTATCTGGATCAATGTAGTTCCGATGAGGGGTACGCCACATGCTTCTTGTCAATGATAGATATGTCCTCCATGCACCGCCACATGGGACTGCCATCTTGTGAGGCGTTGCACGGGCTACAACAACCCTTCAACATGGATCTCGTATGAGATCCTCCGTTTTTCTTGTTCGCATTTTTCGGTCGTTCGCATTCGTTCTATTCGGACTGGCTCCCCTCGTCTGCCTGAGGCCAGACCGCGTCGGACGCTAGCCGTCCTTTTTCATTCTAACAAGCGGAGAGATCTGGCTGGTACAGTTCTATCATTGACGCTACCGCCCGCGCGGGACGGTCTGGTGCAGGATGTCAAAGATTCCTGCAGATGTACTCGCAGTTTACCAGCATGGGCAAGCTTCCAGCTGGATAGTAAGCATTTAATGTCTTGTGTGTTTGTATAAGCTAAGGTCCAGCTCGGATTAGGTGGTTGTCGTCTTCGCCATCTTGTCCGTCGTGGCAATGGGTTTTTTTCTTGCCCATGTTTCTTGGATTTCTCTTCACATGTACCTGGCCGCGCGAGGTGTTGCCGCGAGTCAAGAGAGGAAACGATCCTTCTTCCAGACACAGCTAGGAGTTTACACGGTGTCGTTGTTGCTCAGCAATTTTATAACAAGTATCGCATTCCTGATTAATGCGCGTTGGTTTGAGTTGAAGAGAGTGGAGAGTGGTGAGTGAATATGTTTCCAAAATCATGCTGTCTCGCTTACTTGATTTCACGTGCTTAGGATCACTGTGCCATTCGCAAGGTACTTGCATCCCATATGTTTTTAGCCTTATTGTCGTTACACAATTTTCTTCAGCCGTCCTCAGGCAAATAGGTGGTACTGCGACTGCCTATTTCACTGGAGCAATTGCCGCGCATGCATTCATCAGTCTCATCTGCCATCGGGCTATGCCTCCCTGGTTCAGCTCCGCCGCAGTTGCATTTGGGTGGGCCATATCTATAGTCATTGGTGAGGCACCTGCTCCTGGTACGTAGGGCTTGTTATGATGGTTTACAAATTTCTCTAGGTGTCCTTCCATTGTTCGTCAAAAGCAACAAGCTTGGGCTAGCTTACGGCTTCAATGGTCTATCGTGTGGGATATCGCCGGGATACTCTGCATTCGAAGTCGTGTTGACTATTGTTCCAGTGCGTCAATGGCCCTTTAGTCGAAGCGCGATCTGATCAGATGTATTTACCTTAGGAATTTCTAGCGATTTTGGTAGCAATTGCGGTGTATTGGCTAATTTTCCTTGTCCTCGGAGGGGCACTATCGATTCATCATGGCCTGAAACTCTGCTTGAAGTCCGACGCGAATGAGGGCGGTGCCATTCCTGCAGGCCAGTGTCCTCAATATTATCGGTTCGTCAAGGCAGTGGCGAAGAGTTTGGTCTGGTATGTGCTTTCGCTGCTTCATCCTATATGCGACTTATCATTGCATCCAGGTACCCTATTGGTATGTGGGCTTTCCGTCTTTCTAGAGTGGCAATTGATGCACAATCAGCGTATACGTTCTTTTCATTTCCCTCGTTAGTAGTCATCATGATGCGAGCCACGAGAGACCATGTCCCATTCGGCTTGCAAGTGTTCGCTGACACCAGTTCTGCAATGCTTGGTATGCATGCGGATTACTATGGTTGTATATAGACACCTGACCTGTTTTATCAGGGCTTGCCAATTCACTAGTGTTACTCCGCACTCTTCGCATTCTGTCTCCTTATCTAGTGACTCAGTTGCCCCAGGATGCTCCTCTGGGTGACTCGGACAGCTTTTTTGCGCCAAGTGCATCGCCAATTGATCTTGAAGTTGGAGCAACGGAACGCCAGCAATCCGGTGGCATTCAAAGGAGGCAGATATGTTCCTCTAACCCGGAATCACTGATGTCTATTTATTCAAATCCATCAAAGCGAGATTCTTTGCCAGTGTCGGTGTTAAAAGCGTTGGTCGATGCCGTATCCCATGTGGCAACATCTCACGCCTCACTGAGTGGAACTCAAAAAGATTTTGCGCCCATTGCTTCTACTGGAAACACAATTGACCTGGTCTCTCCATTTACTCTGTCATCGACTATCCCTCATCCTACTCCTACCATCCAGAGACCATCTGCTATCCCACTTCTTCGCCGTTCGACGCTGATGAAGCCGCTCCCCCCTTCGCCTTGCCAGTCCAAGTCTCCACTTCTCCTAGATTCGACCATAGATATGCCGCCACGCTCGGCTTCTTCGTCATTCTACGAGAGGCGTCAGATTATACCGGAGGACATCGATCCTGGAAAGACGCAGCCGCCGACAAAACCCGGGACCCGTCCGAGCACGATTTCCATCTCGTCCATGCACGAGCACATGGCTGCTTTATCGCCACCTTCATCCCGTAGTCCTCGCTTCCGTGGCGGTGACCTGCCGAGTGATCGGAGGCAGACAATAGCGAGCTCGACCAGTCCATGTCGTGGACTGCCTGCCAGTCCCCGCATGTTCAAGATGCAGCAGGAAATGGCCCAGGTCAGCTTGCCAAATCTCCCTGCGGCGGTCAAGCACCCGGTGATGCAGCCTCTACCCACTGCGAAAAGATCTAGTGTGCAAAGGCCCTTTAGCTATAACATGCAATTGTCTCACGCAGCTGTACCATCCTCTCCAGCGTCCTCTCCAGCGAAAGTCGCGGGCAGTAGGCCTTTACCCAGGGTCTCTATGATTGGGGCATCCGCCTTTGCCTCTATTCCGGAACCTCCCGCTGGCACTCTGGCATCACGTCGTTCGGTGCGAACCACTGTGTCAGCCAGTTTAACATCTGCCAGCGGATACATCTGAGACATTGGCCCGTGTGACACCCCTTCCCACATCTCCTTCCTCGTCTTTCTCCTGCCCATTAACTTTAAATGGAGACTCACATTCCTTGATAATTTATGTTCATTGCACTGATGCTACTCTTTAGATGTGTAGATGTAGATTGATCGACCTGTATACTCATTGGGACCGCTTGCGCATCGCTGAAGAACCCACTGTATTAAGTTGCCATAGACAGGTGCCTGACATGTATGTGTTTATAGCTGTGTAACATAGCCTGCATAGGTGGTGGATAACTTGATCAACCAATTGGGTTCCTGGGTGAGAAGCAATAGCTTGATGCACCTTGCGCGTTTTACGAGGCATAGAGTCAGCGCACAGTGTCTCTAAATGATTGAGACTGATCTCAGATACCAAATGAAGAGCTTGCGTGAGTTCGGGTGGTCCAGGCTATTGGCAAGCCAGTGCTTCTCGTCGCACGGTCATGACATTCCGAAGCGGTGTTGATGAGAACAGTCATAATCATCGCCTGCGTTCACAGACCAACGCAGCGTCCTGGGACAGTTACAGCAGAAAAGCAGAGACATCGTTGTTCGAGCACCGCCGCATCATACCTGTGCCACATCCGAGGAGCCAAGGGTACCACCTTCGCCGTATCGTTGTATGACAAACCCTAATATCAACCTTGACAATTCAATGAATGAAATGATTGCCAAGCGGAGAGCATCGTGATTATATCAACCCACATATGCTACGAAGAGATGGAGGATCAAAATGTTTCGCTCTGGATCCAATGCTGACATGCTGACAAGGCATTGCAGGTACACACAATATTGTTGCCTGGCAGAACAGTGTGTGGCTGCGAGGTTCATCGTGTAATTGCAACCGAACTACTGTAGTGGTCGCGCCTTCAAATCATCATGGAACGTACCACTGAAGCCGCCTTGCGCCATGGCTCGGACTTGGATGGAATTCAAGTTAGGTGATGGAACGGAGTCCAGAGGATGACGTCGTCACGACCGTGACAGTAACGCATATTCCGAAAGCGGGACATTGTTTGTACGTGTTGTGATCGCGCGTGTCTAGCTATAGCGCGCCCGCCCATCTGCTTCCAGTACGGATCGTCCTTGCTCCCCCGTCCGCTGCATTATCCTCTCGTCTTTATCCGTCTTACTTTAAAGTCATGTCTCGGGTGAGTGCGCACATGCAAATTCTCGATGTGCAAATGGCCTTACGGACTTTGACAGGCTCAATTTCTCAGAGAGTACAAGCTCGTTGTCGTCGGTGGTGGTGGTGAGTTGGGATACATGCCAATGCATTGCTCTCATTCATGCCGCGTTTGCAGGCGTCGGAAAGTCTGCTTTGACTATCCAATTCATCCAGAGCCATTTTGTGGATGAGTATGATCCTACAATTGAGGGTGAGTGCTTTATGACGCCTATGTTGACTGGAATATGGCTCGCTGCCACAATTTGGGCTACTTGCTCTCTGTTTGATTCCCATGGCCTTGATTTTCTCCAGAGCATTGGTGTCTTGGGGGTGATGTTTCAGCTACACCTGATCGCGATCACAAGTTTAATTGGATTTAGGTCTGGGTGCTGACCTGTTACCAATTCTTTGGCAGATTCGTACCGCAAGCAGTGTGTCATCGACGACGAAGTGGCGTTACTCGACGTACTTGATACCGCCGGTCAAGAAGAGTATGGGTATGTTTGCCCCTTGAACCTGGTCGCTCTGTTCGAATGCACTCTCATGTTCGTTATAGGGCGATGCGTGAACAATACATGCGTACGGGAGAAGGATTCCTCTTGGTCTATTCAATTACGTCGCGTCCCTCATTCGAGGAAATCACGATCTTCCACCAGCAAATTTTGCGGGTGAAGGACCAAGATTCTTTCCCTGTCGTGGTTGTAGCGAACAAGAGCGACTTGGAGTATGAGCGCCAAGTGGGCATGAACGGTGTGTCTTTATTTTGTTCAGAGGATCTATTCGTTGCTGAACGCGCACAGAGGGCCGTGATCTTGCAAAGCACTTCGGCTGCAAGTTTATAGAAACATCAGCTAAGCAAAGAATCAATGTTGATGAGGCGTTCAGTAGCCTTGTCCGCGAGATTAGAAGACATAATAAGGTTCGACCTACTCTTGTAGATATGTACACTTCGTCAAATCCTGATTTTTTGTTCAGGAGCAGCAAACGGGTCGCCCAGGTGCACCACCCAATATGCCATCAGGACCCGGCGTGTACAGCTCCTCGAAGGGAGACCAGGATGATTCTGCTGGTTGCTGTGGAGGCTGTGTCGTCGTATGATCCACTCCCTTGGTCTCCCTTCCTTTCTTCTCTGCCGCACATCCTACTCCTACTTTACATCGCTCGGCCTGGGCTTGTTGGCGTCACTACTGGGTATCCTTTCTACCTATGTTTTCTGCTCTGTTCTCTATGCATTTGCGCGCTATCGGTTGCCCCCCAAAATTCCACTTGACGTATGCCTCTTCTACGCTTGTGGGGTCCGTACGCTCGTTCCCCCTCCCCCTCGCCCTCCCCAGTTTCTACGGATGAATAGATTATACCTTGTCGGAACACGCGCAAAGCATGTCAGTGCGAGTGCTTTAACTATTAAGCTGGTCCTCAGGTAACACCCAGGTTCGGGTTTTTGTAATGAAATATGGCATGAAGATCGTACAAGGCACTGCATATATATGTATGCTGAACTACAGCCACATAGAAGTTTTAGCGCTGTAGAAAGGGTTTGGCGATCGTGAACCGTGCAAAGGACTCCTCTGTGCATGCCCTACCAGGGCCAAGTGCGGCAACTTTTATCTCGCATAGGGCGGCCAATGCGACGTTCCAAGGAAAGCGTGACCACCCGTTATAAGATTTCTTGTGGTCGTAATAATAGGCGTACGATGCACGCACACGTCGGAGAGTGGGTTCGTCGAAATAGAGGAGGGCTTTGCCGCCCACAGTTTTTGGACCGCTGTTGAACTTTCGCGATAACTTGCGGAACATATCCTGCCGGTGCTCAATCGGAAGGTCTGACATTGGCGCTTTGCCCTTAGAAAGATATCGACCGGAGTTCGTTCGTCTAATAGCCTTTGTCGTGGCGAATGCCGTATCTGTGGTAGCTTCTGCAAACCTGAGTTCAACAAAAGCCTGGATAGCTAGTAGTTCTTCGCCAACACGAGAATTGCCGTCCTGTTTGGCTCGCTTGGCTCGCTCAACCCAGTCCTGCCATGGTGCAATGAGATCTTGGTCGGGATGTAGGACTCTTCTGTGAGGAGGCAACAATTTGTCGATACGATCCTTCCGGATACCAATCTCCTGCAAAATACGTTCTTGAAACCCATCGAGTACAAAATCCGGAAGATCAGGATTTCGCTTTAGCGTCTTCAGGTTAGAAAGCCCTGACTTCTTCCATGGAGACGGACCAATATTGTATAATGCAGAATGGAGGTTGTATACGGATTGGGGAACAGATACACCGGTCTTGGGACCATCGAGAATAGCAGAGAACCTAAACATTCAAAAACAACATCAGAATGGTTCGTAGTCAACGGCGTGTTTTCGTACATGTAGGCGAGAAAAATGGTTGTCTTGTGGGAATATCCGTTTTTGTAGATTGAGGCCTCCCACCACGTCGAGTAGGTGCCAACCCGCGAAGTATTGAGAAGACTACCAAGAAGGAATTTCTGGTACTCGTGAAGTAATTCCCCGTTTCGCAGAGACGCAGTACGCTCGAGGAATTCCGCTACAGTCTCGGAATTCTTGACGAGAGAGGCCTGTACCTCGGGTGGCTCTTTAGCAAAGTTGGGGTTGGCATTTCTAAAATTTTCAATGAGCCGGGGATCCCAATATACCTCCACTGTGTCTCCATCATAGTCGCCTACATTGCAAATGTGAGAGAGAATAAATTTAAGATAACTACACAATCACGAACCTCCACCGGTCATGCTTGCAAGATGCCGAGGCAAGAATTCATTGTTGAAGAGATGTCCTTTGACAGAGACCACAATGACATCAACAAACCGAATGAGTCGGTTGTTGAATACAGATACGAGCTGCAATGGAATTAAACATCTAAATGTGTCGTTAGCATGGCCACGGCGCTCATACCTTCTGCATATCTGTGGGCGTTTTGCATGGATGGCGAGTGACCTGAAGATACATGCAAAGCATTCAACCAATGGCTTCCCATGAGAATCCAAGATATTAACTTACGATAACTTCACCCAATATCTGATCCATCCACTGGCCATCTAATGCAAGTAGATTGCGAGAAGAGCTTCTAAAATAGATTTCTCCTGGCTCAAGTGTCCCAGTTGGATCTATAAGGAACGGTATGACTATGATGAATTCAATGTGCATGTTGCGAAGCACTCGCCGGGAACAACAAACGCCTTCGCTGACATGGGAACCTCAATATGGAAGCTATTTGCGTTTGACTGAATAGCCTTCTTGACCGTCCCATTCAGCTTAGCCTCAAGGACGCATAGCTTATCAGGCATAAATCCTGCCGCCAGAAGTACCATCACACACTCTTCGAGCGACGACGGGCATCCGCTAATTGGGTCCTGCCACCATGCAGTCGATTGACTCTCATTCATTTGATTGTCCTCGCCGTCGATTCCCTGAACATAATTCTTCAAAAAATCATCGGCACAATATCCCCTTGCACGAGTACTTCCAGAAGCTTCGCGAGCGCACCTGCCGGACAAGACACTACCGGCATCAGCGACGTGCTTATACAACTGATGCACATCCGCAGGATAGGTCCATGTCGTCAACTTGGCGACCTTGTCATCCAATGCAGCGTTGAGAAGCCGAAGAAAAGTATCACAGGGAACGCCATTCTCCGCGAGATTGATGATGGTCTCCGCGCAGAGTCGAGCGGGGGATGTCATCCGAGAGGGCCGGAGGACGTCGATCGTCCGCCATGCGGGGTCGTCTTGCGTGGATACAATTTTGATCTGCGAAGGTCGAAGTTTGACACAAGGGGCTTCTCTGCTGATATCTTCCTCTGCGTCTAATAGAAGCATCCCCTAAGTGCAGCATTACAATTCATTCGTTCGTGAAAGTGCGACGCGAGCAGTAACCTCACCTTGGCCGGACCAAGCCGCATCTGCATAGCTACCGTCTGAGAAGGCCAACCTAACCGATCAGAGACTTGTCGAAGTATACTGGCGGAAACAAGCCCACACCCGTCCGTCATACACATTTCACTAGGAACTTTGCCAGTCCCCTCAAATCCAGGGCACACTGCAGAAGCTGGTGAGACGTACTTATGGATGAAGGTGAAGAGGCCAACCTATGTCCTCCACGTATTGTATTTGACAGGCCTGAAGCCGCGCAACAGGCACCGAATTAGATGTCCCGAGTGCAAATCGCGCAGCCCACTTTACCATAGTCTAGAGGACAATGACGTGGATTAGTGTGATGACGACTTGCTTTCTGAAACAAATAACAACGAATCCACATCAAGTAGCCCCGTAATCCCCCAAATGGGACAAAACTATCTTCACCGAGACACGTTGCCGAATGTATCGTACTGGGACATAGGAGATGTCATAGTCATGAAACCCCTCACTATCAAAACTGCAATAGAATTGCGATTCTAGACGGAGACATCCCAGATGACACACCTGCTTGTAGTTTTGGATGGGGTCATTGTGCCATTTGAGAAAAGCCAGGAGTGACATCTCATGGAGAGTAGACGGCCCCTGACAGATGTTTGAACCATTCCAACGCTCATTAGTCTGGTAGAAGATCACATTCCCTTCCTTGGCGAAAAATGCTCGGAAAATACGGGTGCAGATAACAATGGGTCGAGTGAAGAAGGTTATCAGATCATCCTGAGAGTAACGCATCTTCTGCAAGGCGGCGTATATATCGCGGGATACTGAAACCTTCATAAAGCGCCAAGAGCCGAAACGACGACTGAACCTGTCCGACGGGCCTAACACAGGGCGGTTCAGAGCCAAATGGAACGGCGGACCATCGTCACTGCGCTGTGTGCCTAGCTCCAGAGTTGCCGTAAAGCTGACTTTACCACCAAACCAGTGGGGGCTATCCTTCAGATAAGGCTGCGATTCGTTGCAGCCCAAGCCACCATACGGGTCTATGTTGAGAATACTTTCTTCTTTGTCAAGTTCACTCCATGGAAGCTGTTTAATCAGCCAGCAGCTAAGTCTCCTACACTTGAATGGCGTACCCTAGCATTCCGCTCTTTCAGAAATGCGGCCTCAAATTGCGTGTCTTCATCAGTTGGTGGTGTTGTGTCTCCAGTTACCACCTTCATCACCTCCGGGACCGCCTTTACATTTGTGCGGAGCTTGCGAAGCCTGTCGATAACAGATGGATCAAATACTTCTGTTGAGACACCTGTGTCCAGAGACCGTAAAATCTCCCATTGCACTCCATATGAAAGGTCCCTGATTTCACACAGAAATGCATGCGACTGAGGAGCCTGATACGCATCAATGTGCAATTGTTATTTTGAATCAATATCAATAGAGTGGGGCAGCATTCAACTGACCACGATATAGGGGCCGGACTGCACGTCTTGAATATCGTCCAGGCTGTTCAAATCATCTGAATCGACTCGTTGCATTTTGGGAGCCCGATTCTGCGTTGCATTTTCCGACTCGTCTCGCCTTCGTTTTCGGTAGTTATCCTGTCGATCATCTAAGCTACAAGCCTCATCGTTAGCATGATCAGCAGAAATCGGCATTGCAGCTGCCAAGTCATTCAATCCGTCTAGAGTTCATGCGTGAGTATAGCTCAAAGGCGGCTGGAAAAACGTGTTCCACTCGCCAGAAGATGGGAGCATTGAAAGCAGGGGATCCCAGTCGTCCACCTGCTCGAAATAGTCGCTTGAGCCCTCTGATCTAGCTCGATCGCTTGAGGTCAGGACATTCATGTTTGTGATCTCTCTAAACGGCTCAAAGTGGGTGGACTGGCGGTAACATTGGAAGTTGGAGATTTCAAGGTCGATATTATGCCCGTGGCCCTACCGGGACATGTTCAGAATCAGATACTCGAGATTATGGCTCGAGGCGACGCCGTCATGTGACCACAGGGAATGCATATTCGTTTTATTCAAAAGACAATATAACCCAATATTCTTTTACACTGGCTGCCTTTCCCATTGTGTCCCGTCAGTTGGTTGCTTCTCTGGAGAATCAAGAAACCCATCTCAAGGTAGGGACACAATAAAGACTAATATCACTCACTCAATGCAGCTGCATCGGACGGCAGATCCTCGACATTGACAGCGCGAATATAGTCCACTCCTAGTTCATAGGGCCCTTCCGCGCCACTATTGCCTCCAAGCAGTGAGATACCGACCGTACGGATACGCTCGCGGAACATGGTGATCTGTTGCGGTGATACTTCGCCTACGTTGGTAAGCACGAAATCATTGAATGGAATCTGAAAGTCACGATCAGCGAGTTCAACGCCAGCCGAGCAGCAATGTAGACGAAAAATACACTCATATTAACACGGATTCAACCAGACTCACGTAGATGTCTTCCCAAGCACCATCGTCGCGGCGGAAGTAGAGTCGATGTTGCCATAGATCAGTCGTAATGGGTCCGTCTGTTTGCAAGTTCACATAATACGAATTTCTGGTCCGCGGATGTCCAGCTACACGCAGGCGGAGAGCAAGAAATTGATGGGCCGAGACATCATCTGTCATCTCGCCGAACAAAGTCGTGCGAGGCTACCCATCATGTGCAGAGTCTATGTGAGTGACTATTCCAAGATATAATACCAAACCTGCGTGCCTTACTCCGGAATCCAGAATATCCACCTCTAATTTTCCCCTCTAGACCACTTCGTACGCCAAGGCTCATTTGACCCCAGAATTTCGCAGTTGGTCGCCTCGCCTCCGCTGATTTCTGTTCGTTCAATGTGGGAGCCACACTAGACTGGTCTAGCTGAAAATGGACAGTAGAAGTCCCACCAATATCTGCGTCGCAACCAGTAGCAAATTGATGAATATCTTCATGGGAATTAAACGTGAACAACGTCTTTGGCGTACGCAAAGGCTCGTCAGCTCCTTGCATACGCATCACTAGCAAATTCGAGTCAGCTACTCAACAAGTTCGCATAAAGATGCTCTATACGCACCACGTGAGGCATTGTCTCTCAGCAGCTTGCTAGACCGGTGCAAGTACTGAGTCAGACGGGACATCCTGCTAACTTGGTACCAGACTTCCGTAGTGGCGGAACGACAATGTCAGAGCTGGATCCACGTAAAAAGAATTAAGTACGAGAGGTATGGAGTGATTGTCCCAAGAGTAAGACGGGGAAAACAACACCACTGGCACTCAACTGGAATCTATAATGACGTTAGCCAGAGAGCACGTGCGATACGCGTCGGTCACAGACGTCACGCGCAAATGCTTTCAAGTACAATTTTCGTGAACTTCGATCTAGGATAAGTAGTCTCAATCGCCGTTCAAGTCAACCATCTTCAGCACTACGTTCAAGAAGCACACCACAACGGCATGAAGGACTACATATAGAGCGGATACCAAAATACCCCCTCATCCTTGCACCAACACGCATTTCTTCCCGCCAACTTCCACTTCCTCCATGTTTTCCACCATGACCAACAATGAGTCCTTCCCAACACTGCTATGCGCGCCATACGACCGCGCAACATCCCATTCCGAGCTCGTATCTGCATCGGAGATACGGAGCCCACGGACAAGCATATGAGGTTCCTTGCTCCCCATAGGCTCAGTGCCTCTGATCGTGCTCATACAACGCGGATTCGAATAAAGGATTTGCTCAGGGGTTTGAACAAGCTCTGATGAAGGCGGGGATGGTGAGCCACCAAACGACAGGGACGGCGACAAAGATTCGATAGACCCCGATCTCAACGGCCCATCGTGCAACTGCCGCTCAACACTTGGCGTCGAGTAACGCGATTCACACGATTTGTACGACAGGCCCGTGAGACTTGCAGAGCCACCGCTCGTGCGACTGCCGGAGTGTTCTTCTCTGGCGGATGAGGTAGTGTCAGAGGCGGCGGAGATAACGGAGTCCACAGCAGACGATTCACCACCATACCGAAGCGGCGGTGCAAAGGCATCCGTCGAGAGGATATGTGTGACGTCCTCAAAATGGCCATCCATAGTGTCTGACACAAGGACGCGACGACCGGTGGGATGAGGAAGCGACGCCGTATTCACACCAGGGAAAATGTGAGAGTGCTGAGGCAATGTGGGTAGCGTAATGTCGTGGATCATTGGTGCCATTCCGGGAATGAGACTCTCCTTCTCATCCTTCTCGCGAGGCCTGATTAATCCGCTAGGTTCAATTTCTGTGTCCTGGATGTCGAATCGCACCCGTCGGCTGCGGCGTTTGTTGCGTCGCAATCCTTCAGGCAGTTTGCAGCGCATGCAACAAAAAGTGACGCCCAGCATGACCAGCGTCCCAACTGTAAGAAATGCTGCGAGGACGGCAGATCGACGGCCCTGCTGGCTCTCCGCATTAGGCTTCGGTCGAGGATTGGTAGTCTGAGTTGTACCGGAAATATTCGTGGAGGCCGGTTTATGCGAAAGATTTGACGAAGAGGTGTCAGTAGCAGTGGTAGCCGTAAATGAGGACAAAGGTGACAGCGTCTCTTGAGATATGTGTGTCGAGGAAATGTATAGAGTGGATGCAGCAGAGGATCCAGGGCGTGCGGACGAGAATACAGTTTCAGATAATAGCCATGTAGTGGGCGCTGGACTGATATTTGAGGTTACTGAAGTGACCAAATTATTCGTCGTCGTAGGTGACTGCACGGGAGAACTAGACGCAACAGATTGGGTAGGTCTCAAAGTTATTTCTGTAGTAGCACCCGACAATGGCTCGGTAGCCTGTCCAAAAGCGAGGGAGTTTGCAGGACTGCCGGTTGCCATCGACGATAAAGGTGTGACCGCATTAATGTCGGCCCTCCCAATTGAAGCTACTGAGGCTGATGAGCTTGGAAGTCCAAGGAAATAGACCTTGTCCACAGAGGCGGATCTGGCAGGAGCGGCCAAACCATAGAGAGGAGACAGAACCAGGACCGCTTGAAGGAGTGAAGTGTGACTGGGCATCATTGGGCCGAGGAACGAGCGTGAGTGCCGTGTGGGCGTGGGGATCCGTGTGGACGTCGAGGAAGAAGCAGACCAGAGGCTCACACATCTATCGAAGTTCATTTTTATGAGTTGCAATCGGCTGACAGTGCCCGAATAATGGAGGGCTGACGCACCATATTACAGTCTCATATAAGCGCCATCCTGCCTGCTCCGATTGGACATTTTATAGATACTGTGGACAGAATAGTACACGTACTTGGCACTCATAGACTAGCCTATGATTGATTATGCATGATATTGAATGGTAAGTGTTGATCTTCAACACGAGCGAAAGTATATCGAAGAGTCTGTGGAGACATGTACGAGCGCGAGAACATCGTAATCGACAAGAGAGTAAAATCGAGGGTGGAGAGTGTCTTTAAATAAAGCCGTCGCGGATAACTCTGCGTCTACTGTTTCAGTAGGCAAGATCGGGTTCGTTGAACTTCGAGCATCCAACTTGAAGGTAAAACCGCGACGCGTCCCTAACACATGATCGCGACGATGCTGCTGCGCGTCTATCATTATGTTATTGTTCGCGCACCGCCAGTCTGAACAGCGAGATGTCCTATAAAGACAATCCTTAAGGCTTTATTTTCATGATCATGATGTAAGTTGCAATGATTGTATCTGCAAATTTTTCTGCGAAGGTTATGCTAAAGGCAAACTCCGCTCATTATTTGAGAAATTGACATACCTCACACTGGACAGACTTGTCTAAATCTTCCTTTCTCTCGTCGCTCGCTGATCAACGTTCACCCCAAGGTTCCTGGCGCGGCCTCGCTGCCCACCCACCTATGACTTATGGCTCAACCGCGCCGCCGTTGAAGGGGCTAGCATGCCGATCTACTATCTTACTCTCTTATATAACGCCCACCCCCGGTAACCCTGAGACCAGCCAAGCAGCTATCCACCACTCATCGTCTCCCCGCTCCGGCTCCTCTCATTGCCATCAGCTACGCGCCATTTCGCGTCTACCCAATCGCCCATTATTTTCTTGCCCGTCCCCCCGTTCTCATTCTCATGGCGTCAGTCAAAGAAGACGGAGATGTGAGAGGCGCGAGGACCATTGGTGAAAATGAGCAAAGGGCCATGATATAACAATGGAGCAGCCGCCTCATTATTGAGAAGACGAGGGCGGAACGAGGGCGAGGGTGCTGGTGCAAGTGCGGTAATAGATGGAGGGCGGCGGGTGGCACGAAAACGAAGTTGTGTAGAGACGGGGCGCACTGATAAGAGGATGTGGGCGGATGACACGGACGGAGATTTGCAATCGGTGCAGGTCAGTGGCATCCACTTTGAGCCAGCATCGTGCTATACCAGTCCATCCCTGGCAAGTAGGCTCGTCGGGGTGCATATACCTGCGAGTAGCAAATTTTTCATTTAAGTAGCACGCTCACTAATTTTGTCTACATGCTCGATCCTCAGCCCTTTTGTATTTGTAAGTAGGTTGAACAATTGATATGAATGAGTGATAGCTTTGCGCTAACAATACTCTTGATCCTTCTTCGCCTCCGCTCTTTCAGGTTCCAATACCCACCATTGGCAATGGGGGCGGACAAAGAGGTGAAGTGGGTCGAAGCACGAGAAGATGGGCATCCTCATCCTACCGTTTTGTCCCCACACAACACCAGCGCCACCCATGCTCTCCTTCCTGATTACTATGTTCTTCGTCCGCCACCCTTCCCCACCGCCTGCCCGAACCCTCGATCACGGTGTCGCCTCATAAAGCGCGCCAAGCACGTTGAAAAGTGCTCTCGCCCCTTATGGGCATCCTTCCGGACCGCCTTCGCGCAGAACTGACATGGCTCCATTCGCTCTTTGAGCTTCCAGTGGACACACTCCACGTGCCGCTGGTAGGAGTCCTTGTCCAACCCCACCACCTTCTCCTTCTCGCCGTGCGCACGCCGCCTTTCATTGGCCTCGTGCTGCTTCCTGACACCCTCGCACCACATACCAGGCGGACCTGGACAGATGAGCTTGGTGTGGTCGGGAAGAGGAAGCACGTGCGCGTCCTTGATGTGCGCCCAGACCATCGCTGGGTCACCGCGATGCGCACAAAAGAGGCATGAGACGATCGAGTCGTCGGGCAGGGGAGAGGAAACTGGGAGTAGGTCCAAAGCCTTGGGGTGTGCGGCCTTGATGTGTTCCCACAGAGCCTTTGACTCTGCGGTCACATCGCGGCTTGCCTACTTGCAGGACAGGAGTCCTGCTCCAAAAAGGATGAGGAGGACTGGAGTACGTCGTATGAAACAGCTCGCCATACCTCATATCATTCAATAAATCGCTGAACCTCCAGCCCAAACCGTGGTTGAGTTCCGCTAGACGTTTCTCCAGTAAGTAGAACTGAGGACGTGAAAAGACGAGTGACTGGATCTCTCCAGGGAGAAGGCTGCAAAAGCCGTAGTTAGAGATGTGGCTGACAATTACGAGGTATCGTACCCTGTTTTCGCTGAGAAATGCGCTGTTGCTTTGGCTGGTGGTCTTATTGCTGTTGCCATGAGTGATGATTGCTATCTTGCGCTGTATTTATACAGTCCTGTTGCTTTGTCCTCCTCTCGCGTATTGTTTGCGGTTCCGTACTGCATTATTGCGACGTATTGGAAAGCGTCCTTTGTCTGTGTCTGCAACCGGACCCCATTGTAATCAGCAGCATGGAGACTATGTCGCCTTTTGACTGAGTGATTGCGGTACATTCATTATGACTATGAAATTACTGGCACAGCCGTCAATAATGACTAGAAGTTGTGCCAGGGTTCATCACGAACGTATATATCCGGCCGACGTGGAGATGAGGAAGTCCGAATCAGTCGAGTCAATGAGACACTGTGGTTATATGAGAAGTTTTATACAGTACTTTCTTGATATACTGTTCGCCTATACAGTAATTAGCGACCTCTAGGCTCGCACGGATCTGCCGCAACCTCGTATGTCGCTCCTCCCGCCGCGGCCATAATGATCGGGAATCGGTGATGGCGCATGTCACGTGGCGAAGCACTCGCATTTCGCGTGGCAGGGCGGCGCGTTACTAAGGGGACGTGGGCGATGGATATACGAAGGCATGGATTGAGCCTTGGCTACAGCCATCGACCTCTGCTTGGTGCATATTCCAGAATGCGACGGACTGATGCTTTATTTCTGGGCTGCTTGATGACTCTGCCGCCGTCACTCCATATCTCATTGCCACCAGTATCGGATTTAAGGCTCTAGTTGGCCGTCGATAATCCACTGATTTAGTTTTTTTTTTCGCCCAAAATCCCGGATTGATATGCGCACCATCTCCCTCATGAAGACTTATGTCTGCATTATAGGTCCTCGGTGATCCTTATTCTACGTGGCAGAAAGTCGAGCTGCGCCCGTGGTGTCTACAGCAAAGCAAAATCAATTGGTGTAGGCTTGCCAGCGGACGCATACATACTCTCATGCTTGTGGGCCATTGCGTCTCTATGGGATTAGCGATAATGGGACTCTGTTTCGAAATTGTCTTCCCATGTTTTTTTTTGTCTCAGCTTTGGAAGTACTCAATCTATGCTTCGTCTCACTATACGGCTGCTTACTCGTTCTCTTTTCTTAGAACCCTTTATCTCGCCCCGGACGAAAACACTGGCTCCAGATGGTACTCCAATCAGAGGCAATTGAGACAGTGCTTCGTTTCCATCACGCATTAGCGTGAAGATACGATTGCTCTCGCAAGATGGCTCGATACCCAAGTGAAATTGTGCACAGGTTTCTTGACTTTTGGATGCCAACTTCATAGTAAAACTTGGCGAATTGGCTGGCCACGTTGGCGCTGCTCATACTGAAGCGGGTTGATATGTGTATGCTCACAATTCTGAAGCCAGGTTTTTTCGGGATCTTGGGTGTGTGGTTGGGCGTCCTTTTGCTAAGTAGAGATCGAGAGGCAGATCAAGAGCTGGTCGTTCTTGTGGGAGAAGAAGTGCATCGTCTTCTCTTCCCGCGACCTCTTCACGCGCGGTACGTGATCGTCTGCATGATCCCCACGTATACAGTGATTGGGGTGAAGGGATATTCGAAGTGAGGGGTATTTCTTTACACGCCTCGAGACACTTGCTGGACCAAGTTGCTCGGGGTGTCTTTAGACTGTCTCTTGCCGAAGTCCTTGAATCCGTTATTGTCCGTGTTCGCGTGCGCTTGAAGGCCCTGCTGGTCCGGGTTCTTCTACAAGTGCTACCTAATCGTGATTATATGCGCTGGTTGCCCTAGCGCCCTGTTTACACTAGGACCATAGAATGTCTTTGTTTCGTTGAAGAACCTGTTTTCGAGATATAAAGTGCACCCGATGTCGATCTTCCCCAGGGATCAGATGTACAAATACAATTGAATGGTAGGCTTTCAACAACTATTGTCGCGTCTTCACCTGCTTCGGCCTGAAGTCAATCGGATTGAAGTGAGGTTGCTTACTGGTTGGTGGTACCGGCTGATTATCCACGCATGTCCACTAACTGCCCCTCAGCCCCTCATTGAGGCCACGACGACGCTCTTCACCACGGCGTATGAGCTTGCGGATACCACTTAAATGCAGCATCATGGCGGTTTGTCGAATAGGAGGAGTGGAGGCCGCCACGATTTTCTCCCGAAGTCTTTCCCAGTGCAATGCGCGGGGGCACCCGTAGAGGAACCGGGAGAAGGCAGAAGAGACCCATTTCCCGTGGTCTGTTACGCCGATTACCTCTACAGGTCGAGTGGCGTCGAGCGGATCCATGGCCTTTCAAAGAAAAAATTGCTGGTAGGTTGGCGGTCGTAATCATTGCGGAAGCAACGTCCGAGGAACGTCTTAGGATGGCAATGCCAGAACCGAACTGATTGAGGCGAGAACCGGAAAAACATTTGGTCCCTCGTCTTTGTTGACCTCGCGGGCGGAACTCTCTCCGAGCAAACGTACCGTCGCCGAACCTTGCAACATTACTTGGGACCTAATGGAGTTTGAGCTCGCAAATTGAACCGCTACATGGAAGGTAGCATTCGGGTATGTTAAGTATCCAGGAGAGGTCCGTGATGGCGAGATCACTTGGAGAGTGTATTGTCACTGGCCATGGTGAAACCCTGTGCTAGAAGATCATCTAGCAGTATGCGGACGAATGAGTGGCGTCGAGTGGACTGGGTGTGAGCGACGGCCGATGGCAAGCCTTTGTTCGTCGTCCACATCCTTGAGCCTGTCAGAGGAGGATGGGTTGTTTCAATCGTTGTGCAGCACAAGCAGGATGTCATCAACGCTGAAGTCGAAGAGCTCCTGCATGCAGGTCGTAGAAGGCGGGAGAGAGGCGGGAC